AAAATAGTACACTTACCAAAAAAAAAAATAGTTGTAAAAATGAGGTGTTTAATGTAGGAGAAGTGTAAAAATGAGATGTATTTATAGACAAATAATGATAGACAGAAAATATAAATTATTGATATTTATTGAGAACTGTGATATAAATAAAATCTGAATTTAACCATATTGAGAAGTGTGATATAACTAAAAAATAAATTAAATATATAAAAGAATAATAAAATAGTTAAATAATTTTATTTAAAACAAAACAAAAAAAAAAGTAAGGGTTAAGCGTTCAATGGGATGAACGGTACATGGGACCCCACCTAAATAATGAACGCCCACATTCCAGTAAACGCCAATTGAGCGTTTAAACGAGGTGTTTTAACGGGGCGTTGCAGGTGCCCTAACATGATATGGGGGCAAAATCAGTTACTTCTATTATACACACACTTCCCATATTATAAACTTTTTAGGCTTATTCTATTATTCTAACTGTGAAATACATATGCCCAAAGTAAACTTCTTTTTTATTTTTTAACTTTCCATGAGCCAATATTCTCTATATAATAGTTTCTAAATATTGAATTTATTAAATTTCTTTTTCAAAAATATTATATAGTTGTGATGTATTGATAGGTAGGCTGTATTTGCTTAAAATATTCACATCACATTGCATTGGTGTATTAAGACTGCTCATAGGTGTCAAGATTTTATGATTTTATATCCATTTGATATGATTTGCTAATTTCCTGTCACATCAGCTCAGACTCATTAACTTAGAGGTCATCCTTGGCAGTAAAAATGGCCATGGTTTGAACCGACCCGTGGTTTTATCCGATTTTTTTAACAAATTAGACCGCCCACGGCTCACTAACTGGTACCGGCGTTTTGGCAAATATGAATCGATGTTTTTATAATTTTTTTTTATTTTTTTGTTATTTTTAATTTTCGGTTTGACCCAGAACTGACGCGCTGGTTCTAAACCGTGAACCGACCGTCGGTTCAATTAGCCTCGATTCAAATTTCGATTCCCATAAAATGCGAACCTACACTGGCGATTCTGAATCGGAACTTTCCCAGGAACCCGGTTTTGACCATGTTTACTTGGCAGAAGAACTATATATTGATAATTGATGCTTTATTTGTTTATTGTTGCGTTGCATTACAAGACACAAGTATGAAAAATACTTATATAGTTTGAGACTTGAGTACCGGACAAGATAATTTCCTTAAAAAAGTATCTTAATATTCATAGTCAACTCAAGGACAGCTAACGAAAATATAATTATATAGCTACAGTACTACACATCCACGAATGTGAGCAGTTTTTATTAAATAAATAAAGCTGCAAGTCAGCAACTACATAAATTGATGCCTAAAACATATTGAATATGTGTAACCTTACAACTAATTAAGAAATGTAATAATTATATAGTTACACCACAAACACACACACTATAAACATCTACATTTAATGCAATTTTGAAGTTCGTCGGTCTCGAAACGGGATTCGCAGCGAGTGTATACTTGGCGGCTAGCCTCCGATCGCCTTTCGCTGGTCGCGAACAAAATCTCGCGGCGAGTGCTAGGCTTGTTAGGCTGTGGTGCGTGCTTCGTCGGTCGCCAATTCCTTTTCGCAGCGAGTGTCGTGGTGGTTGCCTTGGCGCGCCGTTTGGCAGGTCGCGACTTCCTCTTCTCTGCGAGTGCGCGTTGGCAATGACGCCTTGGGTCGCGAGTGCTGGCGTTGTCTGGTGCTGTGGCGCGCGCCTCGTGGCTCGCGAACGCTGCTTCGCTGCGAGTGCCAGGCATGTGGTGGGCAGGACGCTCGGTTCACGGGGCACGAGTGAACACTCGCTGCGAGTGCGGGCAACGCTGGTACGGGCGCGCGCGGTCGCTGGGCGCGAACAAGCTTTCGCAGTGAGTTGGGCGCGGATCATCTCGCGCCAGGGCACGGGGCGCGTGGGCGCAGGCGCAGGCGCAGGCGCGAGCAAGTGCATAAGTCCGGACCCGGCCATGGCCCGAGATAGTTCAGGTGGCTCGGTCGGCTCGATCAAATCAGACGACTCATAAATGTTTCGAAAATGGCTCCTCTCCCTAAACATGATTAATGTGAACTTAATCAACACCAAAATATGCAAGAAAATACGACAAAACATAAAAACATACAAGAACAAAAAGTCACAAAACACGATAAAATAGAACGGTCGACACTAAAACGAACCTAAAAAGATTAACTAAGACATATAAAACACATGAAAATAAGCACAAAAATACAATAAACATGCATATCGACGACATTTTTTATAGAACCCAACAACTAGTATCAGAGCCCAGACTTAATTTGTCTTTATGCACTATTCGAATAAGGACTTATGTAGCATATGTAAATTAATTGTGTATGGGTGCAACACATAGTAGACTAAAATTGCAAAAAGTTGATCGTTTGCAGGTGTTCTTGAATTCGACTATTGTGGCATGTATGAATGTGTTTTAATTTATGTATGTTTTATAAGCCTTGAGCATGTCGGAGACTTTAGGGTTGATTGAATGTTTGTGATAATTTATTCGTGCAGTGAGACACCATATAGTTTAAATGCTTTATTGGATCCTTCATATACGACTCATGTGTTGGTCATACGTTAAATTATGTAATTGTTATTATATTGTTCAAATTGACCCATTGGACGAGGGCGAGCCCATACAATAAAGACGAAGACTGAAACACCTCGACAAAATGAGGTCAGCTAATCGCAGTTGCCGCTGTGCGTGGTGCTGTGAGCAGGTAGGCTCGCCCGCCGGCAACTTGTTGCAAGGCGTGGGCACTGCCAAGGCATGCACATCACACATGAATGTAGTTAGGGCGACAATAGGCGAGCGACGACGAATCCGCAATGAGCAGCGTGCACGATGGCGCTGGAGTGGCACAGGGGCGACGAGCGTACGGTTTGCACGCAGTAGCTCGTGCGCAGTACCTGTTGTCGTCCTGGTGGCTGTGCGCCCGTGGGATCAACGGCTGACCTAGTCAGGAAAATTGCATAGGCAGCTCAAGGTACATGTCGACTTGATGAGAAGACAAGAAGTTGGGCTCCTTCAAGAGCTCAGATATATGAAGAAGAGAACTCACGACCTTGAGGTCGTAAAGATAGAGGTCGTGGTTACGACCTGGCTAGAGCGAGAGGCGAGTAGGTTACGAGGGCTGACCCTATTAATCTCGGTAATATAGGCCTAAGATTTGAGTGTCGGATGGTAAGAGGGGACATAATCCTGCAAGGACTGAAAGTGTATTTTGATAAGGTGTATCACATCTTGGAGAAGTGATAAGTTAGGAAAGTGGATTCGTTTAGATATCTTTTCTAGCTAGAACTCTAATTGGACAACAAAACAATCTAGCATAAAATGATGATCAAGTTCTATTTCATACACAACACATATTTACGTATTAAAGCATACAATTTCATGTTCATTCTCACGAACGAATGCTGACTTCAGCGTCACACATTTTTCCACCGAGACCCCTCACCGGCGCATTGCTAAGTCATCGAAACTTGTGACATAAACCGTGGTGTTGGGATGTTAAAACTTGTACAAATTTTATATTAAAGTGTAAATTAAAACAAATCAACGGTCATGGATAACCAATAATATATTTTCAATCCCTCGAATAAATTATCAAGCTGGACTAATAAAAAAATTAGGAATAGGATAAGGAATCAGCGAGAAACAAACGACAAACGCGCTAATTACAAAGAAAATTGTGACATCAAACCCTCCAAT